CTTGCTACATCCTCCATGAGACTACTGCCCCTCATTCTGCACAGCAAGTGCAAACTAAACCAGAGGCAGATTATCTTACCCAGACTGAGATAATCTTAAGTAGGATATGTGTATCTACCAGAGCAAAGAAAACACCATCCTATAAATAAATGGAGAGGTTTACTAGCTGAAGGTTAGAAGCAACACTGTTAGTGACAATAGAATAATTGCCAAACTTTGCTATTCCATCACTACAGCCATACCTGTCTTTTGGTCACTGTGCCATCCACAGGATCTATGTACTCAAAGCTGTCTGTTCTTTCCACACTGTAGATATTGCTACCCACAGCAAACTGCTGATGGCTGAACGATTTGTCAGTGATCAAAGCTTCCAGGTCTCTCATTATGAAATACGCTGTTCTGGGTTCCAGTGCTTCATAATCAAACCTTGCACATACATAAAAAAAAAGAAGTAAGTTTCCATCAGCTAAGAAAACAGGCCTGCCTTCACAGAACTCAAGGTACTCACAATTAGCAATTTACTGCTTAAAAAATCAGAGGTGAACCACTGAAGTATTGGTTGTAAATTAAACCGGCATATGGATGCAAAACCTCTGCAATCTGATCATTATCTGTGTGCATCACAGTTTTACACTGGCCTCCTGACCCTGACTAAACAGAAATCATTCAAAAAATGTATGGTTTCTATAGTAGCACAGAAAATATCAACACATAGCTTGCTTTCTGTGCTTCTGCACAGAAATAGTGCAGTGCTCAATATCCAGGTGAAATATAGAAAACTTTGTTACAAATTTTAAGCAACAGCTGTGTGCAACAGACCTTATGGATATATGAACTTATCTGGATTAAGTCTATTCTGAGAGAACATGAGAGGCAGAAGCTAAGATGTAAAGGACAGTTAGAATTCACCCTTTGAGACCTTAAGAAAAATGAGTCAATGCTTGGATGTTTGGAGTTCTCCTGACTTAAAAGTAGGCATAGTTCCAGTTCTCACTAAAACACTGACACACAGAAGCACATACAGGAACAAATGCAGGAGTAAACCTTGCTGGGATTTTGATTTTTTCTCAGCACCATGCAACAAGCTATGCCTACAGATTTTGCAAGTAAATAATTCAGATCTTTCTGCCATTTGATATCAGAAAATTCTATTACTCTTACACTAGAAGTGACATTTATGTGCTGCTCCTTCAGTAAGCAAATAAAATCTGCTGCCACTTACTCATCAGAAAAAACCTGCCTACAGAACAGCGGTCATCTGTGTCAAATTTTTCTTCTCTGGACAGAGCAAATGCACACCTAAATGCAGCTATGCACCCCTTAAAAAGCCGTGGTTGCAACAGATTTGTCCTATCAACTGCATAATTCCCTGTGCCTTTTCCTCATTTTTCTTACCTGCAGTAGTAGTGCCGGCCAAATTTTGCCCAGTGATCCCTAACAATCTCTTCCACACTCTGTTTTCGAGCTGCTAGGATGGAAAGCCAAACTAGCACAGCCCACAGTCCATCTTTCTCTCGAAGGTGATCAGATCCTAAAAAGATGTATGTTCATTATTTTATATCACTGCAAATTGGAAAACAAGATAAGGAGGCTAGGCCTAAGGCTCATTTGCCATCACATGTCACGTAACAGTAATCAACAGTATCTAACTCAGTAACTCAAATATCTCCCAGACAGATAACCAGATCTAATATTTAAAATTTGATTTATTTTTCGATGATAAAGCCCATACATCTAAGGTTAAATACACAGTCATACAAGTATTTCAGTAGAAATGGTAGTAGTAGGAAAACACTTTTAGTTATGATTCCTGCTCACTGACATACCCAGTGTTTTCACACCTCTGTTATGGTTTCCCAGGACTGGGCTAGATATGCAAACCCCTGCCCACACCCAGAATGTTCTGAGTTATGTGAGTGAAGTTCAACAACATCTTCTTATGTCTGCAGATGTCCATCCATCAAGCTGTAGAGAAAGAATTTTCCCACTCCATGAAAAATGAAGATTTCCAGAGTACTCATGATCCCCCTTCAGGACAAAAAACAAGAACCTGAAAAAATGCTTCTGGAAAAAAAATACAACAAACCAGAGAATAGCACTTTCCCCCTGTCTATAATCTCCAGTGGTAAAATGTTTGGATACTCAGATCTAAATCCATTCCTAGTTTTATAGTTATGAAGAAAGAAACTGATCCAACAATTAAGACTACTAACAATTCTTACATACCCCACAGGGCTTAGCACACACTCTCAGCTATTGGAGGTGCAAGTTCAAGTCTATGATCTGAATTCAAAAGACCACAGAACTGATCTTGCATTTCCCATGTACAATGCCCAAACGCAAACTTGGAGTAACAGGCTGCAACACACATGTAACCTGTCTTAACCAGATATATTTCTATGAAGCTAAGCTCTGCCTGTTAAAACTGGAATGTATCAATCAGCAAAAAAAGTTTCAATAAAATTAGTATTTTGTAACAAAAGATTGTTTAATCAGAAGGTTCTTGGTCATCTCATAAAGCACTTTCTCCTTGTGGATAATTCAGAACAAGCTTTTATGGCAGTGTCTAACCCAGAGTACCAAAAAATCACAAGGAAGCATGCATGAGAATAAACACAAAGATCCAAAACACCTGACACTCAGTAAATACAAATGATTACTGCATAAGTGAATAGACTCAAGAAACTTGAAGAGAAAGCCTGAGTACACAGCTAGTGCAGTTTCCTCCATGAATTACCTACCAATCAGGGAGGAATCCAGTTGGACTACCTGTTCTGTTAGAAGATACTTAGCAAAATCCTCCAGAGAGGAATTAAAAAAAAAAATCTGTTTTATTAAATATTCTCCTTCCTCAAACACAAAATCCAGTGGCAGCAAAAGTACTTTGCAGTGCTGTGGTTTTATGTAACAGCCTGCAAGGTCTACACAGTCATCTGTCAAAATGGCTGTGTTTTGCTACTGGCAGAAGACACGATTCCCATAATATAAATTGATGTACCAAAGCTGTTAATCCTGTGAAAAACTGTCAACATAAAATTAAAGACATATAAGGAAAACAGCAAGACATGCAGAGAGCCACTGTGATTCCTAGGGCTCAGTCTTGACATCGATCTTCTAGTCACTGCTGCTGCCTTGGACTTGCAGTTCCTCTTCCTGAGAGAGAACAACAGTCAAGGTAGCAGCTGCTACTCACACACATCTGCTAGGAGTCCACATCCTGGGCCTGTCACAGCTCTGCCTGCCACTTACTCCTCTTGTTACGTCCAGCCCTGGGGATGTAGACCTCCCACACCCTGAATCTAACATTAAGTTAACTACCACAGAGTTAACTAAACACAAATTACTATTTCAGCACAGTATCAGAGTACAGGAATGATTACTGAAGACTTGTGATGAGGAAAATAATTTACAATAAGTTTGTTTCTGTCTATGAATTAAGTAAACACATGGCTTTAAGAGCTGAAACAGACAGTAATGTTCCTTTGCATTTGTAAAGTAGCCATCATGGTAAAATCACAGAATCTAGAATGTCTTGGGTTGGAAGGAACCTCTAAAGGTCATCTAGTCCAACCCCTCCACACTAAGCAGGGACACCTTATGCTGGACCAGATTGCTCAGAGCCCCATCAAGCCTGACCCTGAATGTCTCCAGGGATATGACATCCACCACCTCTCTAGACAACCTGTTCCAGTGATCCACCACCCTCAAAGTAAATAACTTTTTCCTAATGTCCCACCTAAATATACCCTTCTTTAGCTTGAAACCATTACCCTCTATCCTGTCATTATATATCCTAGTGAACAGGTCTTCCCCAGCCTTCTTAAAGGCCCCTTTCAGGTATTGGAAGGTCGCTATAAGGTCCCCTCATAGTCTTCTCTTCTCCACGCTGAACAACCCCAACTCCCTCAGCCTGTCCTCATAAAACAGGTGCTCCAGCCCTCGCATTATTTTCGTGGCCCTTCCCTGGACCCGTTCCAACAGGTCCACATCTTTCTTGTGCTGGGGGCACCAGAGCGGGAAGCAGTGTTCTAGGTGTGGTCTCACCAGGGCAGAGTAGAGGGGCAGAATCACCTCTCTCCATCTGCAGGCCACACTTCTTTTGATGCAGCCCACTTCTCTAGCTTGTCCAGGTCCCTCTGGATGGCATCCCATCCCTCTGGCATATTGACCCCACCACCCAGCTTGGTGTCATCAGCAAGCCTGCTGAGGATGCTCTCAATGCCCCCATCAGTATCATTAATGAAGATATTAAACAACATTGGGCCCAGCACTGACCCCTGGGGGACATCACTTGTCACTGTTTTCCATCTGGACATAGAACAATTAACCATTACTCTCTGGATGAGACCATCCAGCCAATTCCTTATCCATTGAACAGTCCACCCATCAAATCTGTATCTCTTGAACTTAGAGAGAAGGATGTTGTGGGGGACTGTGTCAAAGGCCAGACAGAGGACATCCATAGATGTCTTGTCTTAAGAAGTTGTCACTGAGCTACTCCAGGAGTCTCCTGGATTGCCTACAGCTTGCAGTGCTACTTTTCTGCAGATTTCAGGGTGGTTGAAATCCCCCAGCAGGATGAGAGCCTGTCTTTTTGAGCTGGAGTAAGGCTTCATGGATAGGCTCCACTTCATCAGGCAGCCTGTAGTAGACTCCAAACACAAAACTCCCTCTGTTGTCGTACCCACAAGATTTCAAATTGCTCATGGCTATTCTTTAGGGAGAACTTCACACCCTATCCACTTCTTTACACAGAGGGAAACACCTCCACCCCTTCTTCCTCTCCAGTCTCTTTCTGAACAGCTTGTACCCATCAATAGCCACACGCCAGTCACAGGATTCATCCCACCAAGTTTCAGTAACTGCCACCATTTCATAGCTTTTCTGTAGCACGGTAGCTTCCAGCTCCTGTTTGTTGCCCATGCTGTGTGCCTTGGTGCAGAGGTACTCCAGCTGGGCTGCCAGCTGTGCCACCTTCTCAGGGGAACACTCCTTTATTCCTCCAAGGAGTTTCATGGATGCTACCCTGGTGTCTTCTATTACCTCAGGAGCCCCTGGCTGATCTCTGTAACACTTTGCCTGTGCTGCAGTGTTCTCAGCATACTTCAGGGCAACAGGTTGAAGGCCCTTACTATCACCCCATCCTTCCAAGCCTAGCGTGTCTTCCTGCCGCTTGTCACAGACCATCTTATTATCCCTCTCCCTCTTCGCATCTAGATTGACAGAAGTCTGTTAATCAGCCCCAAAATCTCATGGGCAAAGACCCTCTTCACTCTTTGAGAAAGTTGTCTCCTGTTTGATGCCAGCATTCCTGGTGCCATGTAGGCCACCCCATTATCAAAAACCCCAGAACTGTGCCGGTGACACCAGCCATGGAGCCATGTGTTGATAGATTAGATCCTCCTGTTCCTTACAGTGTCACTGCTTTCAGCTGGAAGGAGGGAACTAAAAATAACCTGCATCCCAGAGTCTCTCACTAATTGTCCCACTGCCCTGAAGTTTCTCTTGACTCCTTGTGGACTACTATTTGCTGCTTCCCCTCCACCCACGTGGAAAATCAGTAGTAGGTAGTAATCTGTGGACCTCACTAAGCTAGGAAGTTTCCTGGTAATGTCCTTGACCCAGACTCCAGGGAGACAGCAGACGTCCCTGTGAGGAGGGTCTATGTGGCATATCATACCCTGTGTTCCCTTCAGAACAGAGTCGTCTACCGCTAGAACCCTTCTTTTTTTCCTTTTCGTGTGTTGTGGTGATACGGGAAGTACGCCTGTCTGACTGTGTATGCAACTCTGGTGTGGCCTGCCTATTGCCCCCATTCTCATTCAGCTGTTCCTTCTCAACCAGAGCCTTGTACCTGTTGCTCAGAGGCACCTGGGCAGGCGAAGTGAGCAAGAGGGGATTTTGCCTGCTGCCCTTACTACAAACTTGCCTCCACTCATTCTTTGCATTTAGCCTTCTGTCTCTGACCCAACAGGGGCAGGGTACAGAGACCTCTTGATCCTGAGTGCTCTCTGACAGCTGCTCCTGTTTCTGTTTAAAGGAGGGCAGAGCCTGGCTCCACCAGTCTACCTCCTGTTCAGCATCCATAATGCTCCTCAACCTTTTGACCTCCTCGTGCCCTGCTCCTGGGTGATGTGTGCTCCCTTATGGCTGCACCAGGGGCTGGGCTGTCAGCCTGGTCTCTGCCCCCGCCGAGGCAGAGCTGCCCCATGTGGCCAGGAGCAGTTCCCTGTGGCCAGGAGCCGTCACTTCCCGCTCAGGACAAGGAGGCAACCTCCCTCTCCCCGTGCTTGTTGCGGTTGCTGCAGTTTCAGACACTCAACAAAGATCAGCCCCACAAGCGCCTCGGTGACTGCAGAATACTTCCCTTCTGCCCCTTTTTATCTGCTTTGGTCTGCAACACGGGAGCTCCCTGCACCAAGGGCAGTCTCCTAACCAATGGCCAAAGCTACGGGCTGATCCTTGGGGGGCTGCTGTAGGAAAAGCAACAGCTCGCTCTGTTCCCTGCTCCAGCATCCCCAGTGCTGGGAA